CCCCCGCCCACCCGCGCCCCTGCTGTTCACAATGAGTGCTGTACTGTAGTGCTGCCACACATCGCGGACAACCATATGCTCTCCGATATTGTTCGGTTTTGATGGCACTCTCCACCACCTCTCTTGAGGGCTTGATGATGTGGATTGTCCTCAGATATCAAAAGACAGAAAAAACAAAAACAAATACTTACTTGTTGTAGTCTTAAGGAATAAGAGAATCGGGAGGATGCGACAGTCCAAAGGAAGAAGAAATGCCATTTACGAAATGGACGACTTGGGCCGGTACTTCGACCCAAAAGAAGGGATTGGTGAGGCTCGAACCGATTTTGACGTTCCTTAATTGCGGGCGCTATCTGTAGGATCAAACGTCCTCCAAGCAAGAGGTAATATCCTCGCCCTCGGTGAGGGACGAGGTTATGCACGACTCTTTTTTTGGCGGCATCATGTAATGGAGCAACTAGTGTATGAGCGTTGTATGATCATGACATCATGACATGGATATTTGTATTTTCGTTGGTTGCTGTGACTAAGATCATAGTCCCCGTCCTCACTCTCGACGTGTGCACGCGGAACGCGGGCTAGGTATGAAGAGGTTTAAATCCAACAACAACCAACCGTGAGTGAGCCATCATGGAGCAGTAAACCTGCTCACTTCCCTTACATTTCCTTGTTCCTCCATAAAATTGTGGCGCCGTCTAGCATTTGAACTTCAGTCCTTCGCTGGTGCACCGCAGTTCGCGTTGCTCTTCTGTGCTTATATCTAGTTCTTGTCTGGAAATCGGAGACACGGAGAGCAAAACATTCGAGCTCAACCCTGGTGCTTCTGTTTGAACACCTCGAGCTCAACCCTGGTGTTTCTGTTGGAACACCTCGAGCTCAGCCCTGGAGATGGAAAGTTGCCGAATGGCCGCTTAAACGATAGACTGTGGCCCACATCGGCGGCCACAAATGCTGCCGAGTGGCCGATTCGCAGTGGTCGAATGTGACAATGTTTTGCTTCCTGGAGCTGCGCGTTCTTTTTGCAACTTCTCTCATGTTTTCTTTTATTGAGAGGTCGCGGACGAGAAAGGAATCTGTCACGGAGTGTTTCCGTGACACCTGCTCAGCTTTGCTGGCCATACACCATAACCCATGGTGGTGGTCTCACCGCAACAATTAACTATTTTTTTGGCCACTGCCAGAGACTTAGGCCGACTAAACTCCGCCCAGAGCAGAGCCAGGAGATTGGACCGGCGGCCGTGGATGCTGCCTGCACATGCATGCTTACATGATGCGGGTGATGTCTGCTACTCGCCGTCAGTACACAAAGAGCGTGTCTGGCCATGGCTGCAGGAAGTAATTTATCGGATAGCTTTGCCTCTGCGGTTGGTTCCCTAAGCTTACGTGTTTGCCTCTGTACTGCTGCTTGTTTTACTGTTCCGGCGTTGCTGATATTGCTGCCGCTGCTGCTGCTGCTGCTGCCATTGCACTGTCGCGGCCGCTATATCGCTATATCGCTGCCGCTGATGTATGGCTGCGGCTGCAGACTTGCGGCAATTTTCTGGCAAATGTCTCAACTGCGGGCAATTTCACGAATTCACCGGATTTTTTAACCCCAGCCACAACCTCGCATGAAGTATTGTTGGCGTGTTCCCCGTTGGCCATACCGCATGATATTCTACCGTTCGCATGCGAAAAATGAGGTGGCTCAGGTAAAATAACAGCGGCCTTACATCGGGCGAAGGCCACCGCTCTGGGAAATGCAACTCGGACGCACACACCCCGTTCCCGGTACCGGCCACTGGTGTCCCCGCGGCCCCAGCGTCCACCGCTGTCGCTGGAACCCCGCGCCCGCGGAATTCCGGAACCTCTCATTTTCGTGGCACGACAGCGATGACCTTTTGCACACATCGCCGTCACAGGTATGTGTTGAACTTCCAAGCTCTTGTTCCTCAGATATATGTCGCCCCGCGCCTCATCACAACTTGTTTTTGGCTACCGTTGTGACTTGTCGGTGCCGACTACAGACTTGTGGTGTGGGCGCGGGAACGATTAGACGTCGGGTGTCTCACGGACGCTCGCCCCGATGTCTATGCCCTCTGGAGGCATGGCTTCCGTGCCTCCCACCGTTTCGGCGACTCCGGGTGATCTAGTCAACCTCGTCGGAGCTCAGGGACCTTCGGGACAGCCTCAAGCCCNTCATTTTCGTGGCACGACAGCGATGACCTTTTGCACACATCGCCGTCACAGGTATGTGTTGAACTTCCAAGCTCTTGTTCCTCAGATATATGTCGCCCCGCGCCTCATCACAACTTGTTTTTGGCTACCGTTGTGACTTGTCGGTGCCGACTACAGACTTGTGGTGTGGGCGCGGGAACGATTAGACGTCGGGTGTCTCACGGACGCTCGCCCCGATGTCTATGCCCTCTGGAGGCATGGCTTCCGTGCCTCCCACCGTTTCGGCGACTCCGGGTGATCTAGTCAACCTCGTCGGAGCTCAGGGACCTTCGGGACAGCCTCAAGCCCGCCGCAGTGGCACGAGTATGCTTGTACCCACCGCGTCCCCTCCAGACCCTTCGCGACGTTCCTCTACGGAGCATCAACGTCGCACGGTGCTGACTGCACCGCCGTTGGCGAGCGCAGGTAACGATTTTCCCAAATCGGAAGGTTCATGTTCTCCGTCATGAAATAGCGGTCCCGAGTCTCCCGCGGCCGCTGGCCATGTTGGTGGAGCGCCCGCGAAGAAGGCCGCTTTTAATGAACAGGCCTACGCCGACGTTTTGCGCGAAAGCGCCCGCGTAGACCGCTTGGTTTCGCACGCTTCTGTGGCTGGTTCACCGCTTTTGCCTGCCTCTCTTTGTAACTCACAATCCGGCCCGCCTTCGGGTGGCACCCAGATTGTCCTGCCGGTTGCCGGTGCCATTTCCCTTGATGATATTTCTTCGGAGTAAGCGCGCCCGCGCGGCAGGCCCCTGTTTTTGATGGTAGCCAGGAATGTTACAACCATGAGGTTTTCCTCTTTTGGAAACCGCCGCTTCTTTTGCCCAATCGGACGCCCTATGCGTTCTTGGTGCACGGTATCCGCTATGTGTGCGGAATATAGTTCATGATGGTGGAATCAGCTCGCATTTTTTCGCCGATGACTCCGCATATGAAAAGTCATGGCTGACTCGGACCGAAGCCAACACAGTCTCTCTTGGACGGAAGGTGCGAGGTTTTTGACCACGTTTTATGGGAGCTCAGACGTGAGGATGTTGTCTCTTTGCAGTTGTATGCAAAATTCGCCCCAATTGCTGACGAGCGCGAAGTTTAAATTTTCTTGGCTACGGGGGTCACACAGATTGCGGAGGCTCGTTCCTTCGACACGTTATGGGGCATTGGTGCCGATGCCCTCGACCCGCGTGCTGCGTCGCCTTTTAGGTTATGTGGTAAGAATCTCTTGGGCAAAGTTCTTGTTGGGACGCGCACGCTCTTGCGTGTGCGTCAGGTCGGACCCGACAAGACTTTGCGACCGACTCACCAGGGGATACCATCCCCCGTGTGCACAACCATTCATGAAATTAATTGTGCCACCGGGTGATGGATCTTTGGCGGATGATCCTTCATCCTCGGACGCATGTGGTCCGCTGGATTTCGCTTGCGAGCACACCGGCGGACCGCTCACGCAGATGCTGCACATGGCGTGTCCCGCTTTTCACGCCACCGCCGCTTCACCACTGTTGCTGGTGGAAAACGGCGCTGGTGGACATGGAAACACCACCATTGTGTGTGGTGGATGATACACAGGTATGAATAGCTTTACTGTATTTATGCAGAACATCGGCTTGGGCGGGCTTAGCGCTTCTACGGAGCTATGGAACCACTCTTCTTGATGCAGAGCATTAGCTTGGGTGAGCTCATCCATTCCAAGGAGTATCAAATACGGTATTTCCGTCGTTATGGACCCAACATGGCGATGCTGACGTCTGAGTCCGCCCCCCAATGTTGGTCTGACGGAATATCGCGTCTTTATCTGTGCTCCCGTACAATAGTTCAGTCTTAGCGAACCAGTGGTCGTTAGACCTCCTCCGGCCCTCCCTTCTGCGGTGCCAGACGTCTGTCTCTGGTCCACCGTTGGTACCACTGCGGCTGCCCATATATTCGTTTCACTCAAACACTATGTCCGAGAACTAACAGCTGTCGAAAAACGAGTTTGTGGCGGCATATACATTTTCGATGTTTGGGATCCCCGACGGTTTTGCCTGACACATATTCGAAGACTCCGTGGAAATACGTGCCCATGTTGTTGTGGCCTTGGGTTCTGCGAGCATGCCACGCTACCACGTCTTTCCACCTGGACACCGCTCGGACTTTATTTACGTATGTTGGAGCGTTCTTTTCTGGTGGATTAGTATGCATGTGTCTGTCCGTTGGTGGACTCGGCAATGTGAAATTTGCCGAGCCCGCACGTAAGACTTCCAAGCAATCGTATCGATGGCCTACGCTCACTCTGACCCTCCTTGATGGGCCGGGTATTCAGTGAGCGCCGATTACTTTTGGACCGTTGCCGGTCACGTACTTGTCTTCCTGCTCACTTCTCCGAACTCCTCGTCCGAGTGCGCGAACATTTTGCGAATGGTAGGAACATTCGCATTTTCGCGGTTGACGTGACCGAAGCTGAGGACGTGCAAGACGAAGGCGAAGGGTGGCTGGCGAGCAAACTTCTCTGCTAGCCGCTGTTTTCTGATGGGGAACGATGGGCCGGACTTCAGGCGACTTTCAACGCCTGTTTGTTGTTTCCAGTCGTTGATTCACGGGACGATTCAATATATTTTTTATGCTTGATTTGCTTTGCCGCCTTCAAATCATTGCGTTCGTTTCCCTCTCTACTGGCATTTGGCGCTTTGTCTCGTTCAAGTACGCTATGTTACGCTGATGCGTGTTTGAGTGGTTTGAGCTGGTTTGTTTTAGCGCCGAAATAGGCGTTGCTGTCTCCACATTTGCTACGACCGGACCCGCCGCGATCAGTTCCCGCTGGAACCTTGTCGTCTGCGTTGTGATTTTCAGTAGTCATCGCATGTATGTGTGGTGTGGGGAAGATTTGATGGTTTGAAGTTCTTGTCGGGGATAACTATTTTCTCCGACACTAGTTGCTTTTATTTCTTTTTGTGTTTCATGTGGAAAGTCGTGTCTTCGATCTCTATCTAAATCTGAGTATGGTTGAGGATAGAGCATCTGCATACAGATGGCGCCCGCACTTAAGAACACACCTATTAAGAACATGGGGCTAAAAAAATCCAAAACTTCAGAACTTGTTTGCGGCCTACGCCGCTTATTTATCGGGTGAGACCGTTTTGGTCATGTACTAGCTCCACGAGAGGTCGACGACCGTCCTTCACACGGACGAAAGAGGGAGTGCCCCACATGGGCGGCTCCTACACCAAGGAGGGGCCCCGTGACTCATCGCGGTGCCCCCTACCAAACGGCAATCTTACCATCTGCGTGACACCAAAATCATGCAGCACGTGTATCCAACACCAATGTTCGCAGACCCACGAACACCCTCCCTGGTTCTTCACGCAAGTGACTAACCATCAATGGGGCAAGAACGCCCCTGGATACATCATAAATACCGACATGGTAATATATGGAGGGGAAACCCAGCGTCCGGGCAAAATCGCTCGAATAAACCCCTACCACCACAAAAACCGTCGCTATCACAGCGGATCACAACGGCCGCACTTATTAGAAAGTCCAAGGCAAGTGCTAAAACTGCTACAGCTTCGGCAAATTCACCAACTTGCTCCGGTGGTACTGCAGGCTGGCCCTGCTAAGGGCCTTGGTAAGGAGGTCCGCGTGTTGCTCCGTTGTCGGAACAAACTTGACCGTAATACCTCTTGACCTAAACAATCCGCGGATGAAATGAAACCTCACGTCGATGTGTTTCGTGCGACCTGAGCTGAGGGGGTTCTGCACTAACGCTATGGCCCCCTGGTTGTCCTCAAGGACCTTGATGCTGCTACCACTGGTNCCCATGGCCTCTTCGCCGGGGCGTTGGCGTGGCGCGCTACCGCACGCACGGCGAACGAGACGTCTGGACGCGAGAAAGTCGACACCCACATCATGCTGCCGATGGCCTCCCTCACCGGCCACTCCCCTCCTTCCTCATCCTCTCGCTTCGGCCCTAGATCGGCACCAGGGGTAGCGGGGATGCGGGAAGTTGATTTCACATCGAAGCGTTCAACCATGCTGTCGATATACGCGGTTTGGGAGATTCTAAGAGTCCCAGCCTCTACATCTCTCTCGATGGCACACCCATCAAACCATTGACACTCTCCAAGGTTTTTGGTGGGGAATTTCTTGTTGAGAGAAGCAAGCAACTCCTCGCAATCCTCGTCATACCCAGCCACCAAAATGTCATCCACATAAATCACGATAATCATCACCACGACTTCGTCTACCATCTTGCGGAAAACACACGGGTCCGCCTTGCATTGCTCGAACCCGTTCTCGACTAGCGTATCAGCAGCGTGGTACCCCTACTGCCTACCGCTCTGCTTCAGACCGTAAATCGCACGCTCAGCCTAAACAATTTTATACGATTTGTCCCCGCACCCAGCGGGGAGCTTCAGAAAGACCTCCTCGTCTAGCGTGGCGTGTGTGCACGCCTGCTTCACATCCCAGTGATTGACGTTCATGCCCTTCTCGTTCGCTNGATCACGATAGCCATCACCACGACTTCGTCTACCATCTTGCGGAAAACACACGGATCCGCCTTGCATTTCTCGAACCCGTTCTCGACTAGCGTATCAGCAGCGTGGTACCCCCACTGCCTACCGCTCTGCTTCAGACCATAAATCGCACGCTCAGCCTTAGCAATCTTATGCGACTTGTCCCCGCACCCAGCGGGGAGCTTCAGAAAAACCTCCTCGTCTAGCGTAGCGTGTGTATACGCCTGCTTCACATCCCAGTGATTGAGGTTCATGCCCTTCTCGTTCGCTACCGCAAGCATCAGCTTAATGGATGCGGATGAGGGGCAAGGGGAAGACGAATGGAAATAATCGACGTTCGGGATTTGCGAAAACCCCCTAGCAACCAGACGCGCTTCGAACTTGTCTATCTTCCCTTCCTTGTTGGTCTTCCAACTAAAACACCACTTTGAGCTCACAGGCCTGCGCCCCTCTGGCGCACCGTCTACGAATGAAAACGTCCCCGTGCCCAAGTGCCCTTCAAACTCTTCCCTCATGGCCTGTTCCCACCCCTCTCTTGTAAACAGACTTGGCAACGCCGGCTACGGTCATGGGGGGGGTTCTACTTCACTCGGACGCTTGCCTATGGGGGATTCACATAGCTCGTGGGACGCCAAGAGCCGTCT